AAATCTGTAATAATCAAAATGATTTGGTACTGACTATAATAGGAAAGCTGATCAATGGATCAGATAAGAGACACAAAACACACAAACAATAAACATAGTAGCATACTGTTCAATAAACCCAAGAACCAATGAGGAAAGGACAAACTATTCTATAATAACTACTAAGAAAACTGGCAAGCACTCAGAGAAATAGGCTTAGACCAATATCTCACACTATAAACCACATATTAATAATAGCTAGCATTTCTAGAGTGTTTTAAGGTTTGCAAAGCACCTTACAAATATTATTTCATTTAATCCTCACAATAACCTTAGGCTGTAGGTTCTATTTTTATCCCCATTTTACAAGTGAGGAAACTGAGGTAGACAGAGGTTATATAGATCACAGATCTAGTAAACGTCTAAGACAATTCAAAACAAGTCTCCCTGATTTCAGATCCCGAGCTTTATCCACTCTGCCACCTAGCAACCTATAATGAATTCAAAAGTGGATACATGACCTACAAATAAAAGATTATATCATAAACCCATTAGAAAAGGGAAATAGATGCCTTTCACAAAACTGGATAGGGAAAAGGTACTTAACCAAACAAGCTAGGGATAATCACAAAATATAAAACAGAATATTTGTATTACAAAAAAGTCCAAAAGTTTTTGTGCAATGTAGTTGGATTTGAAGGGAAACAGTGAGCTGGGAAGAATCTTTAAAATGAATTTCTCTAAATAAGGGAGATATACACAATATACAGGGAATGGATACAAATATGTAAGAACAAAAGCCATTTCCCAAGAGATAAATGGTTCAAGGATACAAATAGACCTTAATGGCAATCCATCAGCAGACATAAAAAAAAAAAAAACGCTCCCAATCACTAACAATAAAAAGAAATGCGAATCAAAATGCGAATTCCACCTGACACCTATCAGTTTGGCAGAGACAACCTCCCCCCACCAAAAAAAAAAAGAAAAGAAAATTGTCGATGGGACTTTGGGAGAGAAGACACACTAATGCACTGTTAATGAAGCTGTGAATCAGTCTAACCATTCTGAAAAGAAATGCAGACCCATACCAAAACTTACTAAACTGTATATGTACCCTCTGATCCATGATACCTACTAGACATATACCCTCAAGGAAATTAAAGGGAGGGTAAAGATCCCAAAGTACAAAAATATTTCTAGCACCATTTTTCGTTGTAGCAAATAACTGGAAATATAGTGGGTGCCCATTAATTGTGGAATGGCTAAACAAATTATGGTATGTGAAGATTCTTGCACCGTAAGAAATGACGAAAGAGAAAGATGCAATGAGATTTGCAAAAGATTTACAGGAACTGATGCAAAGTGAAGAGAAGGTAACCAAGAGAACAATTTATATAATAACTACAATATTGGAAGGAAAATAACTTTGAAAGACTGAAGAACTCTGGTCAATACAGTAATTAGTCATGATTCCAGAAGACTGAAGATGACGCATGCATCCCACCTCTTAGCACAGCAGTGGCAGATCTTAGGTACAGAATGAGACCTATATTTTCAGATATAATGTGTGATTTGCCTTGCTTGACTATACTGATTTGTAACAAGAGAAACATTTTATAGGGTGTGGGTGTGTGTGTGTGTGTGTATGTTCTGGAAAGAGGGGAGGCTAGGGGATAGTGATTTGAAGAAAAGAATCTAAATGAAACATTTTAAGAATATTAAGAGCAAGAAAGGAGGAGGGAGTTCAAAAAAGGCCACAGACAAGCAGGGCAATGTTAGTACTACTTCATTAAAATATACTTTAAAAATCTTTTCAACTGTTGTCCTCTATTTCTGAAATGAGTGTGTTGAACTCATATAATTCCTGTACATGTACTGGTAACTAGACTCCCAGATAGTCAATACATCCTATAGTGATTTTGGATGGAATTTCCTTGTCTACATTTTTCTGCTGGGTTTTGCTGGCAATTTCCAGAAAGGCTGATGATTTGGGGAGAGGCGGGGTATTTAATATCCTATTTTCTGAAGTTACTAATAGATATTCACAGTTTCATGCACAAGCTTATTTTTTGCATATGGAACTGTTCATGTTTGTTGTTGATTGTCAAGTTCGTAATAAAAAGAAAATTTTCTAAATAAATGTATGAACTACCTCAGAAAGTAGTAGGTTCCCTTTCACTAGCGGTTTTGAAGCAGACGGACAATTACAAGAGGTCTACATTGATACATTACAGAAGTGATTTTTATTTAGTTAAGGATGGAAATAAATCCTTTCCAATTCTGTGATGCTGTGCAAAACATTATGAAAATGAACAGTGGGTATTCAGAGGTCTGGGTTGGTTTGGTTTTTTTTGTTGTTGTTGTTGTTTTTGTGGACTTGTGATTTCACTTGTATAGGGAATTTTCAGACAGAAAACTCCCTCTACCAAAATGGATCAGCAACTATGCCAAATATTATAGTCGATCTCATCTCCTACTCTCTTCTCCTTTCCCTATCTCTGACAAAGAGGCAGTCCCTTCTCCTTCCCAAGGTGACCCCCTCTACACGTGTGCGTGACACCATCATCTCCCATTTTCTGCATTCTCAATCATCTCCTCCCCTTCCTCCCTCCCCCACCCTCCCTCTCTTTTTCTCTCTCTAATATTCAGTCTTTCACTGCCTACTGACTCTTTCCCTACTGTCTTCAAACATGCACAAGTTTTCCCCATCCTTAAAAGATCTTCACTAGACATTACTTTCCCCTCAGGCTTGTATCTCTCTGCCTTCTCAGCCAAACTCCTAGAAGAAGCCATCCACACTTATTATCCCCACCTCCTTTTTTCTGACTCACTCCTTCACCCTTTGCATTCTGGCTTCCAACCTCATAACTCAATTGAACCTACTCTTTCCAAGATTTGCTGTGTTAACCTGGTTAAAATGACTTTTTTGTTTTACACAAACAATTAAATCAGTCAACTCTTAATCATTCACAATGGAACTATAGTATGAATAATCCAAAATGGCATCTTTATGAAAATTCATCTGAATTCTAGTTTTGTACTACAAATGCACTCACATTTGAATATAGTATGGTCTAGTTTTTTAAGAATTCACTTCAAATAAAAAAAAAGACATTCATTCTGTTATAATTTTACTCGGAGGCAGCCAAAAAGCTCAACAAGTGTCCCATTCTGCCCCATTACTACCTGCTGACCACCATCCTAGCTTCTCTCTCCATTCCACACACTAGACTTAAACTTTCTCAAACCTCAGTAGCAAGGAAAGTTATTAAATGATTGGGCTTCAAGAAGCATTTTATCCACAGAAATAAATAGGACGAGAACTGTCAAAAAGTAGTACTTAAATAGTTTGGGCGCCTTCCATGCCCTGGAGAGCAAGAGTTCAGATAATACATCCCATAAACAAGAGTTAATTATAAAACACTATGCTAAAGTTGCATTCAGGAGGAAATCTCCTCACATTGGTATCAGAAGCTTATTTTTTTAAAAGCTGCTTAATAAATCTGTTTATTTTCTACATCATGATGCATACTTTATCTTAACCTTTATAAATTTCATAAGTAGATTTTAAATGGAATCAAAGAGCAAACATAAAAATTCAAGCTTTACAAAAAACTTGATCTTTGACAGACCAGTGTCACTTTCAAAATCCCTTCTATCTAAAAAGTAAATCCAAGCCAACACACAGCAAGACAGCTGAAAAGCCAGAGAAGTATTTTAATGGAGCAAAATATAAGAGTTGATATATTTAAATCCATCAGAAATACGGTTTTTAAGACCAAAAGCCATTTAGCTTCTTCACCTCCCATGTAAATGAAGCTATCCAAAATGCTATTCAACGATGCCAAGTAAAACTGAGATAAATGAACTGTTCACCAAGGAAAATGAAATAAACACAAAATGCTATGGAATGAATTACCTCCTTCAGTGCCCCCAAGGTTTACACTGTGAGTATCTTCTAAGTACTAAAAATAATAACTTCACATAGGTGAGGAAGAGATTAGAAAGCAGTTTCTTATTGGAGTGGAATCAGATCTTTCACTGAGCACTCTCCTAGATATTCCTAAAATATTTATCTTCTTGACCTGAATATTAACAGGATATTCTAGTAAACTGCTTAATTTCAAATCTCCCAAGGACTGTTTTGTGTCCCACTCGTGCCTCACTTACTGTGCTGCAAATTCCCTCCCTCTCCATAAAGTTCAATACAATAAACTTTAATGTGGAATAGTCGCTCTAAGACCGAAATACACAATCATTAGTTTTTAAAAATCCACCAAAAATGAAATCTTTTAGTGTTGGGGAAGAACCTAGTACTTTAGAAAATACTTTCATCTTGGTACAGAGATCTCTAAATATAACAATTATGATTCAACAGGAAACTGGTTAAGTCAAGCAAAAAGTTCAGCATGTTTTTTAAGATTTTGCTGTCTCAGTGGTTACAGTTTTAAACCACAATTCTGCATCTTGGACACAAAAACTTGACACTACGCTTATTGGCTGATGTTTTTAGCATGCAAATGCAATAAGCCTTAGCAACAATGGGACTTCAGAAAGCAGTATTATCCCTAACTCATTTCCCTAGATGTTTTGTGAAATTTCTGTCAAACACAAAAATGGCCTTCTTCCCCAAAGAAAAATAAGTTTAAAGATATTTATTTAACTTAATCTTATTTTGGTTTAACATAATTTCTGGCCTGTGATTCATATTATCAATGATATTATTATCTCAATTAGCATTATATCCAGTAGCCATAATTCAGCTGGCCCCTTAATTACTGTACTCCATTCGTTTTAGGCATATACCTGAGTTTTAATGTTAAAGGGAACTGTTGAAATGAATTTAGTCTAACCCTCTCATTTAAAGATTAGATAACTGAGATCTTAAACCTAAAAAGGATTTCTTTTAACATCATTCTTTCATCTTAAGAAAACTTAGATGATTCCAACTGAGGGGCATATGAGTGAATGACAAGCAAGAAAGCAAAGATAAATTTTCTGGAATACAAGTTACCTACCTTTGTCTGATTCCAATGTATTCTTGTTAGTACTGACCAGAAACGATGAAGCCCTGGCACGTCTTTTCGTCAGATCACTAAGAAGAGGAGGCACACACACAAGAAAAAAAGACTCAGGGACAAAAACCAAAAAAAGTATCTTTCTTTAAAATGCAGATGCTCTGGAATATGAAACATCTGAAGAAAGAATACAAAAGTTACTTGGAAAGTATGATACATTCCTATACACAGTATCTCAACTAAACAGTATCTTTCCATAGTTCTTAATATTTAATTTCAAACTATATTTTTTGAATCATGAAAAGCAACAGGTCAAAACCATACACAGTAGTAGGAAGCCACTGTAAAATGTAAAACCAAATTTAGCAACTCTCAGAGATTAGAATCTTCCCCACAAGAGGTCACTATTATGGCACGGCAAGTACTCTATTTCACTTAGAAGCATAAGCTTTTTCTTTTTTTTTAAAGAGCTCCCAGGGATCTTTAGCATCATACAGTTCAGTGTTCCTTAAGTTATAGTCTGTGGATCCTTGGAGGTCCCTTTTCAGAGGGTCCTCAAGGTCAAAATTATTTTCATAATACTAAGACATCATTTGACCATTAAGATACACTTCCCTTTCCAGCTAAATATCTATGTAAGGCCAAATTTTATTCATATACTTCAAAACAACGTATCACAATAGATTATGCAAAAGCAGATATGAGAATCTGGCTGCCAGAATCTAGTCAGAGGTTTGCAAATGTGGATGTGTGTATTTTTAAATGCCACTCTTAATTTTGGAGGAAATATAGTTATCTTTCATAAAAATATATTAACATATGATGAGTTTGTAATTTTAAATATTTATTTACAATTTAAAGCAAATTTAATTTTAATTAAAATTTAAATATTAAACTATTATTTAACATCTGAGTATTTTAAATAAAATTTCAGTATTTTAAATAGTTTAATTTATCTATTTTAATTTTTAATATGATGAATATCGATATAATCCACAAAAAGCTCTCTGGGGTCCTCAATAATTTTTAAACATGTAAAGGGGTCTTGAGACCAAAAAGTTGTAGTCCAGCTTCCCTCACTTTAGAAATAAGAAGCTCACAGAGGTTCAGTGGTTTGTTCAAGATCACACATTTAGACACCAGCCAAGTCTGGTCTCCTGAGTCCCAGGCCAGTGTTTTTTCCACTGGAGCTCACTGCCTCCCTGTTTTGATAAGAAAAATCCAAAACTAATGAAGTTGATACTCTAAAAAAGCACATTTTTATATTTATAAACGTCAAAAAAAATTACCAGAACGCATGTAAATACTGGTGGTTATCGGCTTATAAATGGGCTCATTGTATTCCAAAAGTGCAGTTGTAAGTAAATTGTTTAGAACCCAGAACAAATTTTTCCATGGAGACAATATTTATCAAAAACAGATTAGCTGGGATGAGCCCGTGAGGCCTAGAAGGCTGCTCCTGCAGCTTCCAGGGGAGCAGTCCTCAAAAGCTCCTTAGCCCATAGAACAAAAGCAATGGCCATGCACTCTGAGAGAAGTGTTAATGCACAGTAATCATTCTCTGTGTACATGAGCCATTGTAAACAGGTGTTCTAAAGCAGCGGGTACCCCACACAGGAAACACGTCTTCTTTTGCAGCATCCAAAACTTACATCTTTGAAGGCAGGGACTGACTTTTGCCTTTCTTTGTATCCCCAGCACTCAGCACAGGACCTGGCACAAAGTATTTAATTAAGGTTTACTGACTACAGAAATTGCGTGAAAATGTGATAGGTAGGCTCAGAATAGGGAACTAGACCTGTAATTGCATTGGATTAGGGAGCGCCTGGATATAGGCACTGCTTCTATGAAAGCTGGCTGGTACCTTCTCTACAGCTTATAGTCTTAAAAGTTAATTACAACACTGAAAGATGAAGCAAGTGACTTGTCCAGGGTCACATAGTAAACATACGTCAGAGGAAGGACTCAAATTCAGGTCTTTGTGGCTTTGAGATCAGCACTCCATAGCCGCAAATATGAAATATGGAAAATAAAAAATAAGAGAACCTGCTCTGAAGTTGTTGGTTTTTTTTGGGAACCAAACTTATTAGTGCCATGAAATTCATTATCCCAAATGGCATAACATTTATTCATATGTATTTCCTCCCATATTGCCAGTCAAATCCAGCCACACATGTTATATGTATATATAGGTATAGTGTGTGTGTGTGTGTGTGTGTGTGTGTGTGTACACACACTCACAAGCATATACTCCCTTCCCCATACCTGCAGCATCTTGACCTCTATCACTACCTCTAGGAAAAGCAGACACAAGTCTGAACACCACCAGGCCACTAGGTGGTATAGCGGATAGAGCGTTAAGTCTGAAGTCAGAAAGAGCGGAATCCAAATCCAGCCTTAGATGCTTACTATCTTGTGTGACCCTGGGCAAGTCACTTAACCTCTCTTTGCTTCAATTTCCTCAACTATAAAATGAAGTTAATAATAGTATCTACTTCATAGGGTTGTAACGATTACACCAAAATAATATTTATAAAATGCTTGGTATATACAATGCATGGTACATAGTAAGTAATTAATAAAGACTGGTTCACTTCCCCCTAACTATGTTACTAGGAATCGCTCTAGTTTTGGGATCATCTCCAGATAAGTCCCCTGGCTAGCAAAGACCTCTTCCTCAATTTCTGTCTACAATGCTGTCCCTCCAAACCTCAGGCTTTCTATAAAAACAGACATACCATCATCTCCTACTTCATTCTGCCTTTTTAGAAAAGGATATAAAAGATTGAGCTAAACTCACAAAAAATGTTTTGGTTTTATAATGCTTTGGAATAACCACTTTATTTTAACAAGCAAATTAAAATGCAGATCTGGTGGCAGAAAGCTATTGGCTTAAGAGAAATACCAATCAAAATCCCAGGATATAGGATGCTGTGTGATCTTCAGTGAGAAAAGAGATTCACTCTTCCAGAAGAAGGCAGAAAGAAATGAGCTCAATGGGAAAAAAAATTCAACAAACAACCTGGGCCTATCTCAGAAGGGCCTGGGGCAAAGGAGGCTCCCATGCTTAGCAAACCAGGAAAAGAGGGAAAACATAGGGGAAAGGAAGCACTTAGGAACCCATGGTAAATCCTCTAACTAGGTTGAGATAAGAGGGAGCGGCAACATTGGAATGCACAGAACTGGAAAGTAGGTCTCCCTAATTATCACCAGGTCAAAGTTGTTTATCCTGCCCCACTTGGCCAAAAAAAAAAAAAAAATCAGGAACACTAATATTAATACTTTAGAAAATATTCTGATATAGCATGCTCCTCTACAGTGCCAAAAGCATCTCCTTCCCTTCTACCTAACAGAAGCAAATCTCTGCAATGACACCTTCCTCAGTGTCTTTTAAATTCATCTTATAGAATAGTTTGGCACAAGAGACTCTGGCCACCATCTAGGGCAACTACCCGTGTCATGAAGGAGTACCTTACACAACACCCCTGATATATAATTATCCAGCTTCTGCTTGAATGTACCCAGTGACGGAAACCTCAGCTTATTATGCCACAAGGCAGCCTATTCTATTATTTCAATAGCTCAGTTAAAAACTTTCTCCCTTTATAATCTGCTGAAATTTAAAGCTACAAATTATTAGAGCTGGAAGGGTCCTTTGCAGTCCTCTAGTCCTACCTCCTTATAACATACCCAGCGGGTCAAGTTTTACTCTCTAGAGCTACAGAGAATAATTTTAATTGCATGAACTATTGATTCCAACACATGAAAAATCTGATAGTCATGGCTTCTAATCAACTCATTAATAAAGACACCAAATAGGACAGGAATAGAATCACATACCACACTAAAGATCTCTCTCTTTAGGTTCAAATCAATCCAATTAGTAAAACGACAAATCAAACATGAATTTCTTTATAAGTATGATGCCCTGAACTAGACACTGGAGATACAAAGATGTTAACTTAGAAAGAAATTTATGTTTTGGGAGGCACAACAACTCTACCCAGACAAACTAGATGTAACAAACATGTAACTAATATTCAAATCCCTAAAACTGTTTCTCCAATTTTCTTAATGACCAGGCATTACCAGCTTAGAAAATTACCATCAAAGCAAGTCTTAAACACTGTATTAGAAAATAAAGGTACCCTCTGAGTACAGAGATGAAGTGATTTATTGCTGCCATGTGAAAAGATTCATATAGTACTTTAATGTTTGCAGAATACTTTCCTCACAACAATCCAGTGAGGCAGTTATTATAGACAAGTTACTTGCCCATGTTCAGTCATACGGCTAGGAAGCATTCAAAAATTCTAACAGAAGTCTCAAGGTTCCAAATACAATAGTCTTTCCATAATTCCATACTGCCTTCTAGCCTCTGAATTAGCCTGAATGCTAAGATTTTACTCTAACAGAGGCACTACTATAAAATAATGTAAATAAGGAAAGGGTTAAGGGAATAAAAGAGATCATTTAGCATTAGATGGAAAAAATGTAGAAAATGTTGGCCAAAACATTTTACTGCCCCAGAAAACAGACACTTCATTTATTAGAACTAAACTCAATTTGTGGCATTGATTAACATAATAACATCTTGTTTTTAAAGCAAAAGCTTGAGCTAAGTTACAAAATACAAATTATAATTGCTACACTTAAATTTAACCAATTTAAAACATTTTCCTAAAGAATTTCTTTATTAAAACATTATGTCCATTTTACACAAATATCAAAAATAAAAATAAGCCACAAAAATGATATCCTCAATTTTATTTACAATAAATAAATCTGAAGAGGACTTAGAATTATTCAAGACCTGAAAACGGATATATACACACACACACACGTATACTTAAAAATTCTTCTGCGTTAGATGACAAACTAATATTTTTAACAACTACTAGCTTTGCCACTGGATAAATTCTAGGGAAGCCACTTCAGGCCTGTTTCTTCAAATGTAGAATGAGGGAGTAGGCCTAAGTGGTGTCTCTTAATGTTCTGTTTTTCAGATTCTCTATTTTCTTCTATACTTTTTCCTTCCACCTTACTATACGTGGTCAAAATTCATTAATTCAAACTA